AACATACCAAAATTGAGAAAATGCAACAAAAGCACTGATTAGGGGGAAATTAATATCTGTGTATATTATATATATACTATATTTTTACTATATATTACTATACAATATATTACTATATATGAATATATATACACTATATTATCTATATATTACTATAAATAATATATACTGTATTAAAAAGGAAACTAGGAAAAAAGAGCACATTTAATGTAAAGCAAGAAACAACAAGAATATAATTAAGATTGGGGTTAAACTAAGTACAACAGAATGTAGAAAAAATGATAGAGGGCGAAGGGGTCAAAACATACAAACTTCCAGCTATAAAATAAGTCATGGGGATGTAATGAACAGCATGGAGACTATAGTTAATAATACTATATTGTATATTTGAAAATCACTAAGATAGTAAATCTTAAAAATTCTCATCATACGAAAAGGGAATTTTATAACTATGTATGATGATGGATGTTAACTAGATTTATTGTGGTGATAATTTTGCAATATATACAAATATTGAGTCATTATATTGTGCCTGAAACTAATAGGTTATATGTCAATTATTTCTCAATTAAAAAAATTAACTTGGTATAAAACCACTTACAATGAAAAACCCAGACCCAGATAGCTTTACTGATGAATTATACAGTTCCAAGATAAATTAGCACCAATCCTTCAGAATCTCCTCCAGAGTAACAGAAAATAAGGGAATACTTTCCAATTCATTCCATGAAGCAAAAAAAACTTGATACCAAAATCAGACCAAGACAAGTAAAGCAAAAGACAAATATCCCTTATGAACATTGACACAAAACTCAACAAAATACTAGAGAACCAAATTCAGCAACATAGAAAAATGATTATACACCTGGATCAAGTGAGATTTAGCCTAGGAATGCGAGTTATTTCAAAAATCGATGACTATAATATAATATACCATTTGAACATAATAACGGCTAGAATCACTTAATCACATCAATAGATACAGAAACTATTTGGCAAAATCCAATAACTTTTTATTATATATATTTTGAAAATCAACAAAGTAGGAGTAGAAGGGATCTTCCTCAACCTGAAAAAGGACATCAATAAAAAACCCAGAGCTAACACTATGCTTAATATCGAAAGACTGAATGATTTTCCCTTGAGGTCAAGAACCAGACAAGGTTTTCTGCTCATTCCATTGCTCGGAAGAATGTCACTGGAGGTTCCAGCTATGACAGGAAAAGCAGAAGAAAATCAAGATAGAAATCAATATCAGAAAGAGAATTGGATAGCCCCAAACATTAGGATGTCTCCAAACAACATGCTTGTAAATAATCCATCAATCAAGAAAGGAAGTCTTAAGGGAAATTTAAAAAAATATTGAACCGAATGAAATGAAAATACAACATGTGAAGATTTGTGGACACTGTGAAAGCAGTGTTGAGCTGGTAATTTATAGCACTAAGTACATATATTAGACAAGATGAAGGTCACAAGTTAATAATTTAAGCTTCTACTTCAAAAACGTATGGGGTGAAAAAGAACAAGTAAACCTAAAGCAAGAAGAAAGGACATAATTAAGGCAAGAGCATAAATCCATAAAATTGAAAACTGAAAAATAGAGAAAATCAAAAACAAAGAGTAGTTTCTTTGAGAAGGTCAATACAGGCAACAAACCTTTAGCAAAAAAAAAAAAAAAAAGATAACACAAATATCCAATGTTTCATTAGTGATGAAACCAGGAATATCACTATACATCCTGACCATCAAAGGATAACAGGGAAATACAATGAATAATTATGTACTACATACATAAATTTGACAACTTAGATGAAATGTCAATTATTGAAAATATACAAAGTACCACATCTCACCCAATCTGAAATTGACAATTTTAATAGTCCTGTAACTATGAAGGAAATCAAGTCTGTTATTTAAAAACTTCCAAAAAGAAAGATATCTCTAGGTCCGGGTAGTTTCACCAGAGAATTCTACCAAATTTAAAGAAGACTTAACATCAAATCTACATAACCCCTTCCAGAAAATAGTGGAGGAGAGAACACTTTCATAATAGCTCAAAAAATTGGGCCTCCCCTGGTGGCGCAGCGGTTGAGCGCTGGGCTGCGAGGCTGCCCGCAGCCTCTGCAGCGCCGGTTCGTTCCCCGGCCGCTGGTGAGGGTCCCACAAAAAAAAATTAATAATAATAATAGCTCAAAAAATAGGGGAGCTGGGAGGGGGAAGATATATGTCTTTCAATGGGTAAGATATGGCTAAACAAGTCATGGTACATCCAAACCATCTAATAAATAAACTTGGATTACTCTCCAGAGAATTATGCTGAGTAGAGGGGGAAAAAAACCCTCCAAAGGTTATGTTATGTGATTTCATTTATAATAACATTCTTGAAATAACACAATTTTAGAAATTATAAACAGCTAAGTGGTTTCTAGGTATTAGGGAATGGGGTGCCAAGGGAAGTAAGTGTGGCTATAAAAGGAAAACATGAAAGATGCTTTTGGTGGTAGAAATGTTTTGTAGCTTGACTGTCAATGTCAATATCCTGGCTATGATATTGTACTATAGTTTAGCAAGATGTTAACAATGGGGGACATTGGATAAAGAGTACCTGGGATCTCTTTGTATTTTTTCTTACAACTGCATGTAAACCTAAAATTATCTCGATGAAAATTCTGATTTAAAGAATTATTCATCAAGATTAATGGGTAGGAGAAGATATTTGTAATCTATGACAAAGAATATGCAAACAGCTTTTATGAATCAAGAAAAAGACAACTCAATTGCAAAATGGATAAAGTTGTAAGCAGACACTTCACAAAACAGAAATTTAAATAGCCTATAAATACATGTAAAAATGCACAAACTCATTAGAAATTTGGGATGTGATATTGAGATCACAATTTTGATACCATTACATACTCACCAGATTGACAGAAATGAAGAAGTCTATCATTTGGGCAAGGATGTGGAGAAACTGGAACTACCACACACTTTTATGACCATTTTGGAAAACAATTAAGCATACCCTGTAGCCCCCTCGTTTCACTCCAATTTATATACCCTAAAAAGATATTTTGTACTTACACATCAGGAAGTATAAACAAAATGATATTGGCAGTATTATTTGTAATAGCCCTAACCACCACTATATGTAACAAAACTGGATGACATCACAAACATAATCAAGTGAAAGAAGCTGTCAGATACACATAAAAATATTCATGCTCTATTATTCCATTCATAGAAAGGTCAAAAGCAAGTAAAACTAAACTATATTATTCAGAGATACATAACAAGCTTATTAAACTATTTAGATAGGAAGTAATTACCACAAGGTCCGGATAACTATTGCTTTAGGGAGAAGGAAAGAGTTTATAAAAAGGAAGTGTGGGTGTGTGAGTTTATGAAAAGGGTGTGTGTGTGTGTGTGTGTGTGTGTGTGTGTGTGTGTGTGTAGTGATTCCCAGGTTGTGGCAGTGCAGTTTCCTAGGTGGTTTGGGTCATGATGATTTGTTAAGCTGTAGATGTACATTGTTTTCACCTTTCTGTGCAATGGTTTATTAACAAAATAACATCTTTTCATATTTCACTGTTTTGCCTTTGAGATGAAATAAGAGGAGGGAGGAATATAAGTATAGATCTGACTGTGAGAAAAGGTAGCACATGAAAATCTGAGGCCAAAATTTAAAACCTGTGAAGACAGGGGAAAGGTGGTGTTGGAACAATAAACCTGCTGGAATGATGGTGGGTGGCTTGCCTTTAGATTTTTTTTTTTTTAATAGCGCCTTAGTAAAAATAATGGTTGTCCTAGGGCTAAATTCCTTACTCCCCGTCTTTACTAGTTGAACCTAGGTTGAGTTTTCTTAAATTTATACATTGTCCACCTTTGCTTTGGATCTAGCGGATTATTCAAAAAGAAAATATATTTGATGTGCAGTCAATCTCTCCAAGAACCTTAACCTGGCAGGCCCATCCCCCATCTCCTACTCCCCACCTCTGTCTTCCGTGGAGCTTAGGCGAGCAGGGCCAGGAGGAGGCACATGAACAGAATAAAACAGTAAAATTTCCATATTGAGATGCCTTGGAGAGGCCACACGTGTCTGTTTTCCATCCATTTCCTTCTGTTTTGTTCTTCTAGCAGACCTGAATTCCTGACGTCAGATCTTGTTTGGGGCCCAGCACATAAGCATCTCGTAGAATGTTAAAACATTAAAAGAGAATGTTAGACGAGAAATCTTTCCTTAACATTCAACCACGTTGAACGTTTTGTCTTCATGTTGGGGGGTGGAGTGGAGAAGGACATTGCTGTCCCTTTCTAGCCAAATTTTGCTGTCACAGCTCTGATTATTCAGGGACTCTTTCCCTGCCCCACCTTGAGGACGGAGTACCCCTAAAGAGTGGGGACACCGGGGTATCCCTGGACTTCCAGGGCTGGAAATAGGAAAACTGACGAGCCTTTCAGGCGGCTCTCGAGGCAAAGTCCAGTGGACAGCGACACACCCTGGTCCTTAAGACGCTCATTCTCAGGATTTCCCGTGCTGGGCCCGCTGTGCAGCACGCGAAGGCCCCTGCACTAGACCTTCCTAGGATGCCCAACTCCCGAGTCTGCATTTTTATTATTTAAGAAAAAGGTTATGGAGTTAAAGGAAAGCTCCACGGAGGGCACTAGCCCGCGCTGTTCCACCCCTTCCCCTGGCCGTGGGGCGGCAGCCTCGCGGTGGGGGTTCACCCAGCCCCCGGCCCGCGCCAATCAGGTCGCGGCACCTGCCCCCGGCGCCGGCCACCTGGAGGGGCGAAGCGCCTCTCGGCTCCGGGCAGGGCCAGTCTCCGCCGCGCCGGGGCGGGCGCAGGAGCCTCACGTGGGCTTCCCCAGCCGGGCCCGAAGGACGCGGCAGACCCTGTGGACGCCGGGCGGACGCGGGAGTCGCTGCTGGAGCCGCGCTGCTCCGCCAGGGGCCCCCGCTAGCGCGCGGCTCCGCGCCCGCCGAGGGTCCCCCGAAGCGCAGAGAAGAAGGAAGGGGCGGGGCGGAGGCGGGCGGAGGACCCCGCGGGTGGCTGTGCCCGGCCAGGGCGGACCTTCGAGGGCGCCTCACACCCGGGTAAGCGCGCCTGGGCCGCCTCCTTCCACCCGCCCGCGCTCGACCGTGCGGGGCTGGGGTGGGTCTGGGTCCGGGTCCGGGTCCGGGGGGGCGCTCGGCTGCCCCGCTCCGCCGCTGGAACGTGAGCCCCGAGGAGGGCGTCCGTGCCCAGGGCGGGCGCAGCGGGGTGGCGCCGCCGGCCTCTTGGCCCTGCCGTGGGTCGCGGCGTCCCCGCCTCGGGGCTGTACCCGCCGACCTACTCGGTGCCGTCGTGCGCCCGACCGGACCCTGCACGGGCGCGGCGGCAGCGCCTGGGGGCCATGCGGTGGCCGGGGCCGGCCTGGCTGCGCGCGCCGCGGGACCGGCCGGAGCGCGTGAGTGAGCGGGGGCCGGGCCGGGCCGGGCCGGGCTGGGAGCCCCGGGGGCGCGCGGGGCAGGCGGGCGGCCGGCCCGGCGCCGCGGGTCTGTGGTCCTGGTTGGTCTGAGCTCGCGGGCGCCCCTGGGCCAAGCTGGGTTTGCTGGGCAGTTTCTGAAGTTTGACAAAATTAGGAGGGCGCAGAGATGTTCGCGGGGCGGGGTCCGGGACAGCCGGGGCCGGACCCCTTGCCTGACTTTCAGAGAAACCGGACTCGCCCGGTCACTGCCCGCTTCCTTCCGAGGCCCCCGAGCCGTCGTCCCGCACCCCCATCCCGCAGGGCCGAGGGCGCACAGCTCGGAGGCCACCTCGGAGCCTGCACTCAGTGGCTGGAAAGAGAGTTGGGCCCAAGTAGAAGACTAGGGGCAGGCGGAAAGCAGTGTCAAGAGAAGCCCCGAATTCCGCTGCGCTGGGACCCCTGCACCCCGAGTCTGGCCGTGGTGGGCGGCTGGAAGGCCCCGCGGGAGGCGCAGGGAGACCACCTGTGCATGGGGCCGGGGGGGGGGGGGGCGGCTTCCTTAGTCCTCTGCACCTCCCGAGGCAGAGGTGTTGCGGGGGGAGGACATGTGTGTTCTCTGTGATACTCTTGGGCTGCATACACCAGCCGTGCATGTCTGCCCCTCTTGGGCATTCTTTTTCTCTGGATGGAGTTGTAGGGCCCTGAAGTTTGCCCTTCTGGGCAAGTTTGACACGGCAGGGAGTAGTTGGGGGCAGGTATCCAAATGGAGGGCTGCCCCTGTCAGTTGAGACATTTTCACGCATCTCTTTTTGCAGTCTGCTTAGCTGGGGATCCGCCCCCAGCCCTGACTGGACGGTCCGCGTAGGAATATAGAGCGCGTGTGTTGTGAGGAAGGGGGGTTCTCAGTCACAGGGCTGGGGGACAGATTGCAAGGCGGCAGCAGTGTAAGCGGCAGGGATTGACATCTATGCAGTGGGATCTCAGTGCCCTGCCAGGTCCCCGGGTGTCTGAGCCAGACCCACATTTTCTGCCATGAGACAAACAATGATGGAGGCACTTCTATTCCCACGTGCTCACTTTGCCTTGGAGGTACCGGGATTTGGATTCCTCGGGGAAAGACAGCTTCCTTTCTGGACTAATAAAGTACTTGGAAATAGATTTGGATCCTGCCCTTTTCCTTCAAACCGACGGAAGTGGGCCAAGGGAAAGAGAGAGCAGAGGTACATTTTCCGAAGGTGTTATAAATTGCTCAGCCCCCTCTCCGGAAGTTCCAGTCTAAGCGGATCTAAACTAGTCTAGGGAGATAGGTAGGCATATTGGCACTCGGGGAAGAATCAAATGGTGGCTCCCCAAGTTCAGCTGTGGCATTTGCTACAGCTTTAGGGAGCATGGCCATGATTTCTACTATCCTGAGGGATGAAGTGGGGGTGCACTGTGTGAGTGGGGAAAGTCTCTGAATTCCTTTTTGGTAGAAGGGAGGGTGTCACATGTCTAGATAGAAACACTAGTTATGGGTATTTCATGTATTTCTGGTAGAAAAACTTATTTAGTAGCCTCATCAAAAATAATGCCTGGGTAATGGCAAGTAGGCGCCCATGCTGGTGAGACAAGCCCCTTATGTTTTGCCTGAGGCTCTCTCTTCTGCCCATGGTAATTGGAAATGAACTCCTCTTAGGCCAGAGAGCACGCAGGTCAGAGAAGAAACTTCATTTAGCAACAGGGGGGCCTGGCACAGGAACTTCCCCCCAGAGGCCCAATGTGGCATTTCAGTCTCATGCTAACTTAGAAATAAGGCCGGAGTGGATCAGAGGAGGAATTGGGAATCCCCTGGGTGGCCACTTAACAAAAGAGCCATTTGGCCCTGACTGGCCCATTCCAGATCCTGTCAATTGTGAAAAGTGCCCTGAGGTTTAAAATCTGGCCTGATGATTATTAGCACTAATGAAACCTGCCACCATTTATTAAGCACATTCTATGTGCCAGACACAAGGTTTTGTAAAATCAGTATTGTTATCCCCATACTTTGTGTGAAGAGACTGAGTTTGGGAGAGGTTAAACAATTTGCTAAGATTATAAATTTAGTAAAGTGGCAGAACTGCGTTTGGAACCCAGGTCTCTCTGGTTCTAAAGGCTCTGCTCCGTCCACAGGGTCATTCTCCTGCCATTAAGAACAGACATAGAAAATCCAGAGCCACTGTGAATCAAAATTGTCATTTTTTACATACTAGAGACATTTGTAACCCCGTTGGACTTTAGGAAAAGCACTGGCCTGCTAAAACAGGAGACTGTTTCTTCCTTTTAAGGGCTTGACTTTAAATCATACACAAAGAATTAACTCTGTAATATGTAAAGTGCCAATTAAAATGACATACTTACCTTTCAATTAGCAAGCGCCAGAAAGATTGATAAACTGTTGAGGTTCTGGGAAAACAGGCACTTTCTCAGATTGCTGGTGAGAGAGTAAATTGGTACAGTTTCTTTGGAGGGTATTTTAGACATACCTAACAAAATTAGAAATGTCCTTGCCATCTGATTTCATTTCTTTAATTTGCTATTATACTTGCATATGGGCAATAAAGACATACACACACACACACACACATTACACCCTTGTTTGATCTATGAAAGAACAACTTACATGCTCATCATTTGAGGACTGGTTAATTATCTTATGGTACTTTTATTTTTTTAAAGATTTATTTTATTTTATGCATACAAGAGCTGGGGCACAGGCCAGAGGTGTGGGGGGGTGAGAGGATTCACCAGAGACAGAGTGAGGGACAGAACAGGCAGATTGACCAAAGTACACTGCTGAGAGGAGCAGCGGGCGAGTCAGGAGAGGTCTGCTGCACCATGTGGGTTGCTCCCTGGCCAGCCGGGGGATTGAACTCATGCTGCAGAGGCTGCGGACAGCTTCATAAGTTGTGTCTTAACCCCTTGCGCCACCAGGGAGGACCTCTTATGGTACTTTTAGAATAATACTGTCCTATTCATTCATTTTAAAAAATGAATTGGAGGGAATACTCTATAATTGGTATGAAATGAGGGCCTCCCTGGTGGCGCAGCGGTTGAGCGCTGGGCTGTGAAGCTGCTTGCAGCCTCTGCAGCGCCGGTTCGATCCCCGGCCGCCAGGCGAGGGTCCCACATGGCGCGCAGACCTCTCCTGCCTCCCGCTGCTCCCCTCAGCAGTGTACTCTATCCGTCTGCCTGTTCTGTTCCCCGCTCTGGCTCTGGTGAATTCTCTCACCCTCCCGCGCTTCTGACTGTACCCAGTGCTTGCATAAATAAATAAATAAATAAATAAATAAATAAATCTTTTTTAAAAAAAAATTGATATGAAATGATTGCCAAGACATATGACTAGGTGGAAATCATGCTTAGAGAGTTTATAATATGCTACTGTTCGTCTTATTAAAGAGGAGGAAGAAAGAGAATTCCGCAAGCTATTGGCTTATATATGCATCCCCATATACACAAAGTGTGACAGTATCTGTAGCCTCTAGGGAGACTAGACATATAAACCCTTTTGTACCTTTTCAAAGGTGAACCATGTGCGTGCACTAACTATTTAAAAAGCCTTCTCTTTTTTGCCCTTTGCTCAAGCTCTTCTTCAGCTGAACAATGTGGAACGACACCCCACCCCAGTTGCTTGAGAGGTTCCCTTTGGAATAGAGGCTAAAGGGCTATGAGACTGCACAAGGTCCTGAGCCATCCAGAATTCCTTTGAAATAAGCAGGCGTGCTTAAAAAGTGTGTGTGTGTGTGTGTGTGTGTGTGTGTGTATGTGTGTGTGTGTGTATCTTCAGATAACTCTTTGAACTGGGTAGGCAAGATATGAACCTCTAGTCTTGAAAATAATATGAAGAAATAGAAACGACCCCTCTTTTACTGCCCAGATGTTCACCTGGAGGATAAAGCATTAGGTAAAGGAGCTGGGGAGACTCTGAGGTTGGCTATCACAGAGGGCAGAAAATATGTAGGAAATTTATTTCTGGTGTTGCATTTGGATCTCAGAAAGGAGAGAAGAAGAAGAAAATTACTCTGGGGTCTCCGGCTGTATTCCCAGGAAGAGGAAGGAAGGTTGTGCTGCAGTTGTCACAGCATCAATCATTGTGTTCCTAAATGCCCCTTTGAGTAGCGTCCAGCAGTCCAGCAGTATGCCCAGCTGGGTTTCCTTTCCTCCCCCATCCAGAATTCCCTTCTGCATATCACCCAGTCTGAAAGCCAAGGGGTGCACAGAGGGGATGGGGCATGTATTAGGCGCTGCCCCCCCCCCTTCAGGTAGCATGGGCTGTAGAACAGCAAAAGCAGTGGAAGGAAGGTTTGCTTCTAACCAGAGAAGATGGGGTCCTCCAGCACTGTTAGGTGGGATGCCTTCATTGAGAACTTTCTATGTTCCACTTACCCTGCCTCCATTACCTCCTTTAATGGCTTGGTGAGATCTGTGTGGGAGCCCAGCTCTCCCTTCAGTGACTTTCTGTTCTCTGCACAGTAACCTGCAGCATGGGCACCACAGCATCTCACAGGTACCCTTGGGTTCAGTTTGGGTTCTAACAGCATGTGCTGGAGCATTACATGCCTTGCTGGATGAATGGGCATCTCTGCAGTGTGGGTGGGTTTGTTCAGGGGTCAGGGACAAAGCAGTCAC